ACTATTACTGCTACTGCTACTGCTACTGCTACTGCTACTGCTACTGCTACTGCTACTGCTACTGTTGCTGCTCCTGCTGCTGCTGCTACTGCTGCTACTACTACTACTACTACTACTACGACTACATTTTCAAGCTGCTACTATGGCGTATTTTTTTATCATACCCTGATTATGAAAACTACTATTTCTACTCTTTGTAGTAGCACTTAACACAGCTACAGCTGCAACTGCAAGTGCAACTACGGCTACTGCTGCTCCCTTGCTGCGGCTCCTGTTTCAACTATGATGATTGCCGCTCTGATTCGCTTTCGGGCCCAGCACTGAGGCGGACAAAGACGAAACAGCGGCCTACATTCATCAGCTTGCTGCATGCTTGCACTCAGGGTATCTGAGCCCTAAACCTTAAACCCCANNTCTATATAACCCCTATATCCTATCTGTCCATAAATGAACGAGCGTGGTGTTGGCTCCAAGAAGACTCGAAGTTGTGAACCAGCAACGGGCATGTGCAGATTCCGTTCAGCCCCCTCACGTCAGAACTTCGACACAAGACGCTTTGGCGCAGCATAGTCTAAAGCAGAGCTGTGTGATGGTTATGCCAGAAGAAAGAACTTCAGGGAAAGATGAATTAGTACACTCAAGTAGGCCCCAATCTTCGAACCATCGCATGGCATTTTAGGCTGTAGTTTGGCATTTAGGGCCAGGAGCCCTTTACACATGGGTGGGCTCCTGTTAAGGCGAATTTGAAAGCATAGATGATAAAGCATCATGCGGGCGTTGCAAAACACCATCAAAGTCTAAGTAAATGTGATAAGACATCATCACATGATCGCAACGTCATTTCACAACCACTTCTGATATTACCCACGTGACCTATGAACCTTCCACCCCCAACCCTAAGCCCCAACGCGAATAAACCTTGAACATGGGTTCACCTGAAGCCTCACCTGGAGCTTGGGTTCACCCTGAACCCTTAGCTGGAGTTAGAGTTTTCCTGAACCCTACCCTGGAGTTGGGGTTATTTAGGTTGCCCTTGTCTCAAACATAAACCTGAGATTAGGGTTGGAGTTCAGCGCAACTCTAATCTCGGGTTCAGCTTAAGTTGAACCAGAACGGTTGAACGCGAGGTTCAGGTTGTTGGCCCCCTCCTGTGAGATTAGGGCCTTGCGGTTTAGTTCAGGATTTAGGAACATTGATTGCCTCATGCAGGTCCTCCTGCGCATGGCACCGGGAAGCTACATCCTGAACTCTAGGCCCCCAACTAAATCCCCAAATCCTCAAAGTTTCGTGCCTGTCTGGCAGACATACAGGGCCAAGCAACTGTTTGAAACAGACATCTTGAAATGCCAAGCCCCCAAAACCTTAAAACCCC